AAGGGCTTCCCAGTATGTGCGCCCCACCCGGAGATGGGGCGAGGCCAGCCACAGCGTCTGCAGGTGGCTGGTGGGCACTGAGGTTCCACATCCTCAACGGGCAGAACCTCTCTCATTGCACCCTGCCAGCCCCCTGCACAGCCAAAGAGGCAGGGTGAGGGGAACCAGCCCCCACCAAGCAGAAGCTGCCAGAATGCGCAGCAATGGAGGAGAAAAGCAAAAGCAACCAACAGACTTTAGAAAAGGCACCAGGAGCTTCTCTACGCCACTGTGTTTATCTGCAGATTTCCCTCAGAAACTGGAGGTGTGGGAGTGGGTGGCTGGGGGCCCGGCTGGGGCCATGCACACATGTAACCCCGGCCCCTCCCCCACAATTCCTAAGCAGGACGCATCTGCCCAAGAACTCCCAATTTAGAGCCCAAAGGGCCAGGACCAAATCCAGCCCCTTCTTGCACCCATTTTACAGATAAGAAAACAGAAAAAAAACTGAGGGAGGTGAAGAGCTTAAAATCACAAGAACTCCACTTTATGCCACCAGCCAGCCTATTTCAGAGAATATTTAGAACTGGAAGGTGTTTAGAGAACATCTGGCTCACCATATCATTTTATGGAGTGGAAACCGAAGCCAGGGGTGGGGGTGGGGTGGTGTGCCTGGCCCTGGTTCCTCTAGAGTCTCAGGTCCTCCACGTCCCTATCCGGAAGATGCAGACGCATACAGCCCAATTCCCAGGGCTGAAGACTGATAAGCTAATAAATACTATTTGTTATCTATTATCAGCAAAGCTCCCACGTGAGCCTTCTGATGATCCTGCCAGCCAGCAGGACAAGCCTTTGAGGACTGGCCCTCATCATTCTTGCTCCGGGTGCGCAGAGGCAGAAATGGCCCAGGACCACATCCAGCACCAGGCACTGCCCTCATCTGTCTTTCTCACTCTCCTGAAGCTAGTTGAGGTCTGACCTTTCCAGGTGGATCTAGAGAAAATAATGGAGCACAAGGAAGAACTCTGGAGCCAGACACACCGACAGGGTCAAATCCAGGCCCCATTTCTGTGTGACCTTGGGCCAATGTCTTAACCCCTTTGAATGTTGGGTTTTTTTCATCTGTAAAAGAGGAATAAAATTGTTACCTCCCTCATGGAGATTTTATGAGGATTAAATGAGAGAACGCGCAGTGCTCGGTGAGTGTGAGCTGTAATTGTTATCAAGCCCAGGGTCCCCTGTGACCATCATCAGAGTGTTCCTTACCCCTGTCTTCCCACTCCAAGACGGGGGTAGGCAACCAGCTTGCCAGGCCGGGTTAGGGATGTGGTTTCAGTCAAAGAACTTCTGATTAAATCAATCTTAAAGTTTCATTTTACACATTATTAAATTAATGCAAAAACTGGAACACTGGAACATGCATATACGGCTGGTTGCCATATAAATGGTTCAACCCTTTTGTAAAGTGGTTCTTGGCCACAGCCATAAAAGATCAATATCCTCTGACCCAGTAATACCACTCTTGGGACTCCAGCCTAAAGAAATAATTCAAGAGACTTAAAAAGAAAAAAAAACAAACAAACCCAAACAACTATCTGCATGAAACTGATCCTGCAATGAGCATCTAGGAGAAAAATAATTAGGAACAACCTACATCTCCAGTAACAAGAGACGATCGGAGGATTGATGGATGATAGAGTCAGAGATGGATTCCAGTGTATTATGGCCATCATTAAAATGGTAATTACCAGCAACCAGTAACTCTGGAATAATGTCTACCTCTGGAGAAAGGACCGAGAGGGGCCAAACAAAACAAAACAAAACAAAACAAAAAACGGAGACAATGGTGGGATTAAATGCGATTTCTCCCCCCCAAAACACCTTTTGACTTTTTTCAATTAACAGCAACAACAATAACAAAAATAAAAACACAGGAAGGAAGACAATTTCTCCTAAGCCCACAAGTGTGGCTCTCACTTGAGGCCTCAGGGGGAGGCCTGGGCCAGTGTGAACTTCCCTCCCCTTTGGTGGAAGGCCGATGGGGTGAGGGAGGAGGTGATGCAGAGATGTGCCAAGTGGAGACAGGCAGGGATGTGCCCAGGGTTATGGGAGTAGGATTGGGGCTAGGAAAAAGACAGTGTGTGATTAGGGAGGGCCTCTGGGAGGTGGTGTCCTCAGAGCAGACTCCTAGATGATGAGTATGGATACTCTGGGGGTAATCTGGGCAGAGGCAAGGAGGAACTGGGAGTTGGGCCAGCTCTGAAAAGACAGCCTGGGAGCAGTCTGGGGAGTTTGCACCACAAGGAAGCCCCATGAAGGGCTTAAGGAAGATCCCTGGGGCTGCCTGGAGGAAGATGGGTGGAGGGGTGTGTCTGGTGGGTTGAGGAGGCTGCTGCAAGCATCCAGAGAGATGAGGTCGACTGGACGGAGGAGGGTAGGGGAGGAGCTTCTCAGAACACACATGAAAAGCAGACTGGCGGAGGACCTGAGTTCAGGTTGGGGCACCATGAGGGCAGGGGGCTGGTGTGATGTCCAGAGGGATGTGCTCAGGAAGCAGTTGGATCTATCGGTCTGGAGCTCGGGAGAGAAACCTGGGCTGGACTAAGTTGGTTGGGGCACCACAGTAGAACATGTGTTGGAAGCTGCAGGGTGTGGCTGAGTTCACCCAGGGAAAGTGAAAGGAGAGCCAGGCGGGCGCAACCATTAAAGGAGGAGGACCCCAAAAGGGGACACAGAAGCAGAGAGGGAGAAATAGCAGGTAAGAGGTGTCTAGAAGCCAAGGGCACGGAAGTCTGTAGGAGAGAGGGAGGGATGGGGTCAGATGTTGGAGAGGCATTCAGCAAGATAAGGACTGAATTATTCCTGTTCAATTGATCAACTCCGGTGACGTCCCCAGAGCACGTTCAGTGTGCCATAAAGGGAGAGAGGGAGGGACGAGGAAACAGACCTTGGGAATCCGGGGGCTTCCTTTTGAGGATACTGGATGAAAAGAGAGGGGAGGAAGTAGGTAGCGGCTACAGGACGCACGCAGTCGCACGGAGATCAGTAGTCTGACCGCCCGACTGGACTGTCAGGGTCCAGACCCCAGCTGCTGCGAGGCTCAGAAGGCAGACCTGGTGGGCAAGCAGAGCCCTGCCCCGCCCTTCTTCCTCCAGGTCCACTGCGCTCCGAAAGCAGGAGGGCTATGTGCAGGGAAGCCAGGGCTCTCCCAACCCGGGAGGCCGATCTGGTGCCAAATCCCAGCCGCCAGGATCCCCGCCCCGCCCCCCAACCTCAGCAGGCTAACTGGAGGGGAGCCCACCCTGCCGAATGCACAGGTGCTGGGGAACAGGTCCAGGGCAAGCCCAGCTCTGCCAACCGCAGACGTGGGAGGCACCACAGGTGCCATCTGGGTGTGGAGGCAGGGGCTAGGGCAGGCAAGAGGAAGTTTACTGAAAACCACAACTTTTTTTTTTTTACGTTAATAAACTCTTTTTCCTACAAGAGGGGGGTTTGTTCCCATTTTTATTTCTGGCTACTTAAAAAATTAGCAATATTATAGCTTAACGACAAAAAGAGCAACCACTCACTCACACTGACGGAGCACATCACTGCTCTACGCTGTTCTGGGCCATTCGCAAAGACTAACTCACTCAGTCTTCCCAACAGCCCAGCGAGGTAGGTGTTGTTATTGTCCCCATTTCACAGGTGAGGAAACTGAGGCTCCCCTGCACTGTTGAATTTCAGCGTTCCCCTGATTATCTTCCTGCTCTTGGCTCTCTCATCCTAGAAATGCCCCAGAGCCGAAGTAGGAAAAGGGGATGCTGCTGGCCTGGCAGACAAGCCTCCTGGGCGTTCCTCCTGCAGCTGCCACTCACCTAGGAGGGCCCTGAGCCCCCGGTTTCTCACAGGTAAGGTGAGAGGGTTGGCTGTGATGACGGCCTGGCTGCACTCTGACCCCCGGGGGGGGGGTGGGTGCTGACACGAGCACAGACTTTCTGGAAGGCTGCTGGGCCATGGCCATGGCCAACCTTCCCCACAGGCCTTGTCTCTGCTGTCAGGCCAGAGGTTGATGTGAGGGAGCCATGAGGAGGGGGAGTCCCTACATTTCCTTTCCTCCGGGCTCTCCTCCCTCTGCCTTTGCCGGCTCTGCTAGGTTGGGGGAAAATATGAAAATATGAAAGGGGGCTTTGGCCTCTCTCTCTCCCCCACCTCTTTCCACAGACTCAGTTTTGTTGCTAACCCCTTTCCCTGCCATCTGGAAATCATGGATGGCTACGGGTGGTCAGTGTCTTGCAGACATCGGTCCTTCCAAGTCTGCCCAGCTCCCCCAGGGAGGTAGGGGTCTGGCAACCTCAAAGGAGAAATTGGCCAGGGACCACACCACAGCCAATAGCAGACTCCCCCTCTTAGACCCCCTGTGTTTGACCTGAGCCAGGGACGGCCGAAGAAGGTGTCCACCCGCGGGAGGCCCTATTCTCCAGTCAGTCCCCACCCAGAGCTGCTGGCTTCCACGTACTGGGGGCTGGGCCAGCACCATCTAAGCCGCTGCCCTGGGGTCCGTGGCCTGAGGCCGAGTGGGGGATATGGAGATGGGCAGCGCTGAGGGGCACCCGGATTTGGCTTATGGGACATTCTGTTCCCTGCTCTTCAGCAGGACAGCAGATTCCCGAGTCCCTTGGACAGCGCCTCCTTTCTCCCTCCCGACCTTAGGAAGCGAGTGGGACTGGTGCTGCTCTGGGGGTGTCTGGAAGAAACGAATGAAACGGACATTTAACGAGGTCCTAGTACGTGCCAACCATTTTCACATACCTATATTTTAGTAAATCCTCACTACGAGTGGACCCTGTGACGCCCGTTGCACAGATGCGCAAACTGGGGCTTGCCCCAGAGGTGGCTGGAGGGAAAGGCGAGGGGGACGAGCCTTTCCCGCGCGCGCCCCGGGCCAGCGTCTCAGTGGCGGCAGGCACCGGCCTCCCCTTTCCTCCCGGGGCCGCCCCTCCCACAGCCCCGGCCCGCGCCCGACGGCGCGCGGCGCTCACCTCGATGCGGTCCAGGCGGTCCCGGAGGGCGCGCACGGCGTCCTCCAGCTCCAGGATGAGCGCCGGCGAGTCCCAGGGCCCGTCGGCCATGGCGTCGCGGCGGGGCCCGGCGTCCTGGAGGCCGCGCGGCAGGCCGCTCTCGCAGCGGCCCAGCTTGCCGGTGAGCTCGCGGATGGTGTCCTGGTCGGCGCGGATGCGCGCCTCCTGCTGCAGCGCCGTCTGGCGCAGCTGCTCGGCCGTGCTCTGCAGCAGCAGCAGCTCCTCGCGCTCGCCGGCCGCCGCGTCGCCCTGCTCGGCCCCCGACGGGCAGGCGGCCGCCAGCGGCGTGCAGAGGAAGCGGCTGAAGAGGGGCGCGGGCGGCAGCGGGTGCGCGCTGGCCGCCGGCGCCCCGGGCAGCGCGGGGGGCCCGGCCGAGCCGCCGGCGCCGTGCAGCGCGCTCAGACTGCGCTGCGGGCCCGGGGACGCGGCGGCGGCGGCGGCGGCCGAGGCGGCCGAGGCGGCCGAGGCGTTGTCGGCGCCGCCGGGCAGCGCCCGCGCCGGGCTGGCCGCCAGGGGCACGCTGGCGATGATGCAGATGACGGCACCGAGGAACGCCAGCATGCCCGCGGCCAGCAGCACGGCCAGGAACTTCAGCGTGAGGCGGGCGGCGGGGGCGCCCGAGGCCCCCCGGCAGGCGCGGCGGCGGGGTCGGGGCGCGGGGCCCGGGCGCGCGGGGCCGAGCGGGGCCGAGCGGGAGCCGGAGCCGGGGCCGAGCTGTTGCCGCGGCCGCTGCTGCCGCCGCTCTGAGCCCGGGCGGCGCGAGCAGGAGAAGGCGGCGGGCGGCGGGGAGGGGGAGCGGGCGCGGCGGCCCCGCCCCGCCCGCTCCCCCCGGGGCCGGCCCTGGCCCAGCCCCGCACCCGTTCCGTGCCGGGCGCCGAGGCCAGGGCGCCGCCGAGAGCGCGATGCCACCGCCCGCACAGCGCCGGTGGGGGGTGGGGGGCGGGCGGCGACCCGGCGGCCGCGCGGCGGGACTCCAGGGGGACCCCCGCCGCACCCCGCCTGGGCTCTAGCCCCCTCCCCGAACCCGCAATGCCGACAGCTACCTGGCGGGGAGCTTGTCGCCGTGTCCGGCTCAGTGCCGAGCGAGCTACAAGCTCGGGCTCAATTAAGCCTCACGGTGGACACGCTCACCGGGGAAATGAGAAGCCTGGGGCCCACCGGGGTCAGGTCGCTGTCCAAGGTCACGCAGCTAGAAGGCGTAGGAGCAGCGTTTGAGCTCAGGCGCCTCTGAGGGGACTCAGGTTGTAGGGTTGAGCTGGGGTGGGCGTGGGTAGAAGAAAAGAGGTTAGTATTGGGGGCAGGGGACTGGAGATTTTGCGGCAACCACCAGCCTGTCGCTCCCCACCTCCGGCCTCCTGAAGGAACAGGGTTCACTCCCCTCCACCCCATCAAAAAAAAAAACCCCCCAAAAACAAAAACCCAGAACACACACACACACACACACAGCAGAAAAACAAAGAAACAAAAACTTCCTGTGATCTCAGAGGGTAGCAGCATCCCTAAGGGCATGAAACATCCGGGGTCCCAGAGAAGACCCCTCTCCCCACCACAGTCTACATTAGGAAGGTAAAACCCTGCTGGGCATGTGGACCAGGCACTGGAAGGAACCAGAAGGAATGGGAGTGAGCTATGGTGTGGGGGTGGTTGAGGAGACTTTTACTTTCTCCTTTCAAAAATGTCTATATATGTATTTTGCTGCAAATTGACTTTGCAATTAAAAACTTAAAAAAAAAAAACAACTTCCTACCACCCTCCACAATTCAGGTCCAGCTCCAGTTTTCCACGAGGTGTTTTTTTTTTTTTTAAAGATTTTTTATTTATTTATTTGACAGAGAGAGACATAGCGAGAGCAGGAACACAAGCAGGGGGAGTGGGAGAGGGAGAAGCAGGCTTCCTGCTGAGCAGGGAGCCCGATGTGGGACTCAATCCCAGGACCCTGGGATCATGACCTGAGCCGAAGGCAGATGCTTAACGACTGAGCCACCCAGGCGCCCTCCACGAGGTGTTTTCTGATCAGCCTGGGTTCCCAGTGCTGGAAGGGCACTGAGAAGGCTGCGGATGTTCGGCTGTTTTGCAGCAAAGGGTGGAGGAGAGGGGCTGTGGCTCCTGGGAGTACTGGCCAAAGCCACACTCAGGTCAGTCCTGAGCCTAGGCCACACCCAGGCCTGTCTCCCTTCCTAGCCTGCATTCTTGACTTGAGACTGGGGCTCAAGTCACAAACTGGGGCTCTGAACCACCACGGCTACAGTAGGGTCTCTGCATAGTGCTGGTGTCAGGAAGAGACAAGAACATTTCTCAGAAGGCCACCGCCCTGGGGGACGCTCTTTGACCACTGGGATCCTGCCCAGTGGTCCCTGAGCACATGCTTCTCACACCCCACCCCTCCCCCAGCCCCAGGATGATGCCTGCCCTGCTCACCAGATCTCTCTGGGTGTCAAGGATCATGAGCTATAAAGTGGGAGCCAAGCTCTATATGATGAACCTCAGAGCCCTATGGGCGCATGGATGTGAGTTAGTGCTCATTGGAGCGGTGACCTGGAAACCCCGCCAGGTGGCACAGCTTGGGGGAAGCATCTCCCTGATGGAGAGGTGAGCCAGGCTCTCTGAAGACAGACACAGGCAGAATGGGGCCCATGAAGTCCCGCAGGTGCATGAGGCATCGGGACTCCAGGTGTGTCTACGTGTGGTCTGTGAAGACAGAAACACACACCTAAAATCCCCAGGAGAAACTGTTACAGAAAATCCAGGGAAGCACAGGGGAGGCCGGGAGAGGGGTTGCTGCCAAGGGCAAGGGAGCCACTGCGGCTTGGGCACCAAATGGTGCCACTTTTATGTGAGCTGCCCTATGAGATTTGGGGACAATTGGATAAATGGGTCCAGAGGCTTGAGTCAAATCTTGCTAAATTGGTCTGTTTAGCCCCTAGAATGGCTTTTTAGACCTGTGATAGGAACATGCCACTCTCCTGCTTCTAAGCTCCCCGTCCCTTATGGAATAAATTCCAAACCCCTTAAGAGGCAGTACCGCCCGGTGGCCAAGGGCATGGATTCTCTTAGAGCCAGAAAGCCTCATTCTCACCCTGCCTGCCCCTGTTATCAGTTGTGCGACATAGTTTGCAAGGAGGGTAAAGTCTCAGGCCTTTCCCAATTCCTGACACTCTCTCTGCACCTCAGTTTTCCCAATTATAAAATGGGGGAATAACAGTAATACATGGAAAGCCTCAATAAATGCCAGGGCTTATGATGCTAGCTTCTCTTGGTTTGTAAGACTGTTGGTAATCTGGAACCCGCTCACCCTTCCAGCCTCAGCTCCTATTCCTCACTGCCCGGAACAGTATCAAACTGTGCATAATTCCCCAAACACACCAGAATGACCCCCCCCCCCCCCGCCCTTGTTCATGCTGCAGCTGCCTCGACTGTCGCTCCTCTCCTTCTTTGGCTCATCTCCATCCCCACCATCCAGCAGGGTAGCTTCTTGGTAAGTGTTTGCAGACCTAGTTCCCCCAACACTGCCTGCTGCTGGAGGTCCTGAAACCCATTTCTCCCGGACTGTGGGAGAGACTGCCCGCACCACCAATCCCAACACAGAATCCCTCCAGAGATGGCCAGAAAAGCAGATTCTCAGGGGGAACTCCCTCAGACGGGAATTGTCCCCACATTTTCCCTCTAAAGTCTCGCACCTCTAGGCTTTTTTTTTTTTTAAAGATTTTATTTATTTGACAGAGAGAGACAGCGAGAGCAGGAACACAAGCAGGGGGAGTGGGAGAGGGAGAAGCAGGCTTCCCGCTGAGCAGGGAGCCCGATGCGGGGCTCGATCCCAGGACCCTGGGATCATGACCTGAGCCGAAGGCAGACGCTTAACGACTGAGCCACCCAGGCGCCCACCTCTAGGCTTTTTATTGCTTCACTTATATTCCATTCTTAGGCTAAGGGAATTCTGCCCTAAATGAACAAGTATCTTTATTCATTCAAAATATATGTTTTGAGACCGACGTTGTGCCAGGCATAATGCCAGGCACTGGAGAGAGCTGGAAATAAGACAAACTCACAGTTTATAATCTAGTGGGGAGGCAAGCAGTAAACAGATGAATAATTAAATAAATGAGTTAATTTATAATAGTCATGAGAACTACAAAGAAAATTTAAAAAGTAATATTATAGAAAGTTGTAGGTGGTGTGTCTGTGTGTTGGGGGGGTGGATTTGGGAGATTGGCATTATTTATAAGGTTGTCAGAAAGGTCCTGCTCATGAGCTGAGACCTGAATGACCCGAGAAACCAGCTGTGCAGAAATCTGGGAAAAGACTGAAACTTGGAGGTTGGATGACCGAGAGAATTGGATGGGTCGTTTTAGAGGTAGAGTTTGCCACGTGGGTCCTCCAGGAAGCAGGCACTGAGATGGGGTTGGATATGCAAGTGGTTGATTGCAGGCTAAGGGCTGTGTGAGCCTCAGACCCCAATGCAGATCTGACAAAGTCTTGGCCAACCCAAAAGGGAGCTCCAGGGTCAAGACTGACCATTGGGGAAGTCTTGCATTGGGCAGAAATGCCCAATCCCTAATACCCTTTTCATGCTTGGTCGTTAGTTGGGAGCTGCCCCAGAAGAAGGCTTCAGCTCAGAAGCTGGGGTGATGTGCACACAAAAGCCTGCACATGGATGTTTATAGGAACTTTATACATAATTGCCAAAACTTGGAAGCAACCAAGATGTCCTTCAGTAGGTAAACGGATAAATAAACTGGTACATCCAGACAATGGAATCTTATTCAGCAATAAAAAGAAAGGAGCTCTCAAGCCATGAAAAGACATGCAGGAATCTTAAATGCATATGACTAAGTGAAATTAGCTGGTCTGGAAAGGCCACATGCTATATGATTCCACCTCTATGACATTCTGGAGAAGTAAAAACTATAAGGACTCTAAAAAGATCCGTGGTTGCCAGGGGTTATGGGGAAGGGAAGGATGAATCGATGGAGCACAGAGGATTTTTAGGGCAGGGAGACTATTCTCCAGGATACCATAATGGTGGGTACGTATCATTATACATTTATCCAAATCCATAGAATGTACAACACCAAGAGTGAAGCCCAGTGTAAATGAGGGACTTGGGGTGATAACATGTGTCAATGTAGGTTCATTCCTTGCAACAAATGCACCACTCTGGTGGGGGATATTGATAGTGGGGGAGCCTATGCATGTGTGGGGCAGGGGGTGTATGGGAAATCTTTGTATCGTCTGCTCAATATTTCTTTGAACCTAAAATGGCTCTAATGAACGAACAAACAAAAGCTGGGATGGCTCCAGAAAGCAAGGCAGCTGGAGGGTGTCTGCTAAATGCACCAGGTGCAGCCCCACGCAGATTCATTCTTAAAGGCGGAGCTGAGAAGTGCCCCTCCGTGGCTGCCACAGCCCACCCCTTGCGCTGTGAAGATCCACTTCTCCACACAGGTCAGGAAGCAGCTCCTCTAAGCACCCCCCCCCACCCCCCGGTCTCTCTTCCTGAGGGGACATTTAGAAGTGGGAGTTGGTGGGATGAACCACGGCCTCAATCACTGCGGTGGTCTCAGGGCCCCAAGAGGTATCCACTGTCTCCCTCCTCCACTACTCATCAAAAATTCCCCTTGCCCTCTTATTACCTCTGCTGAGAAAAGGTGGGATGAATATTCTTTCCTTCCCCTAAACCAGCGAAGTCCATGGTATGATACATCTGCTCAATACATGTTTCTTGAACCGAGATATGTTTTTGTAAAGTAGGGGAGGGAGGAAGGACAATGGGTAGGGAAAACCTTCAGGCTACAACAAAGTCACGTCTAAAAGCATGGGAGAACGCTGCTGGTTTGGTGCCTGGTAGTTTCTGTCTGCCACAGGCACGTGGTAGACTCAGACCTTGAACTCGGGGCTTCGGGTGACCAACTCATTTCAGTTTAGCACTGCAAGTCCTGTGTCCTGGGAAACCTCTCAGTCAGGCTAGTTGGTCATCCTAACTATCTCCAAATCACATGCCCCCAGGTGCGGGTAAGTAATGGGTATCAAACAGCATGTGACTCTTCCTCTTCCTGCCATCCTCAGTCCCTGTGCTTCCCTCTACTACAGCATCTCCCACTTTACCCCCCCTGTAAGACCGTGAGCCCCTCTGGGGCAGGGACCAGTTGCATCCTCCACATCTCTGTGTCTCCGGGGGCCTGCACTCGTGGCTACTCAAGCTCCCAGCGAAGGCAGACAATTCCTCTTGGGGTGTGCTTGTGAGCTAAAGAGCTTCCTTTCCCTGGGGAGTGGGGAAGCGGGGGCTGGGGGACAAAGAGAGCTGCCAGTGTCCATCCTGGACATTTCCATCCTGAGGGTCCAGTCTCCAGCCGGGGATGGACTGTCCCAGAACCAGAGCCGCCTTAGTCTCCTTGTCTATAAAGTGGGGTCATGGTACTTACCACATAGTGAGAACAGGAAAAGAGCAGATGAGATGTGTGTAAAATCTCCTGGGGACTCAGGGGCAAGGACCATTTCTCACCATGTTGTTTTGTATGCCTAGGGCACAGCACAGTGCCTGGCACTTAGTACATGCCCCAAACATGCCATCCCTTCCTTATTTATTCCTAGCACCTATTAGGTGGCCAGTGAAGGTTAATTTCCTTTTTTACTTCCTTTTTTTTTTTTTTAAGATTTTATTTATTTATTTGACAGAGAGAGAGAGCAAGCACAAGCAGGGGGAGTGGCAGGGCGAGGGAGAAGCAGACTCCCCGCTGAGCAATGAGCATGATGCGGGACTCGATCCCAGGCAGACGCTTAACCAACTGAGCCACCCAGGCACCCTCCTTTTTTTCTTCTTTACCTTTATTCCCCAAGTTCCTACAGTGCCTTCCTCAGTAGGCTCACTCTCCTTTCTTGGCTCCCCTCTTACCCCCTTCCCGAACAGAGTGGGGAATCTTTCAGACTAAGGCTCGTATACGTGTTCAATCAACATACCCCAGCCTGGGACCTTCCAAGGGGAAGCAGGACTCAGAAATGTTTGCCTATAGCAGTAGATTCCCCAGCTAGGAGCCCGACCAGAGAGGAGGGGCAGAAGCCAGGGAGGAGAGAGCTTTCCTCTCTGGGGAAGCCCAGAGATTTCCATCCAGGGTTTCTGCTTCCCTGGAAGCAGCAAAAGGAGCCAACCCTCCTCTCAGGCTCAGGCAGGAAGTGAGGACATCTGTTCCCAGCTCAGGAGGGGCCGAGAACCAAGGAGGAAACGGGTGTCCTCCTTGTAGGGGACCTGGCAGTTGGCGGGAAGGCTTGTGCCTGCAGCCAGACCCAGCCCAGAAAGACCAGGAGAGTGGCTGGCCAGTGAGGCTGCGTCCTCTTTCTGTGGCTGGCCGTGGGCTGGGGTGCTCTCACTGTCTCACCCTCATCCTGCCAGCCCCTGGGGCTCAGTCCATTCCTCCTCCCCACACTTGTTATTCTGTTACTCACCGCAGCAACCCCAGAGCTCCACATTAGAATCTTCCCTGTTTCACAGATAAGAATTGGAACTCAGAGAGGTTCTGTCGTTTGCCCAGGGCCCCATGGTCAGTGCAGGTACGCATGGGATTTGAACCTGGAAGTTTGCAGAACGTCGCACATCCTTGCTCTCTCTCCAAGTAGATCAGACCCTGACCAATGAGGAAACAGCTTGGGAGCCTCCCACCACCCTGGGCTCAGTCCACCTCCTTCTCCAGGCTCTCCCCTGATCCCAGGAGCTCATCTAAAGCCAAGAGCCGCTGTGGCCCGCACCCGCCCTCTTGCAGGGGGCCCAGCACCTGTTTCTGTCGCACTGATCTGTGACTTGTGTTTCCCCCCGAGAGCCTGAGAACTTCTGGAGGTCTGGCACTGCATCTGTTTCGTATCTGGGTCACTGGCACCCAGTGTGCACTCCGGGTGTGTCTACTTCACCCACGATGGAACCTAAGGACTGATGGCCATTTCTCCAGCTCCTCTAGGAAAGGCAGTTTTCTTTTCTTTTTTTTTTTTTTTAAAGATTTTATTTATTTATTTGAGACAGAATGAGAGAGAGAGAGAGAGAGAGAGCACATGAGAAGGGGGAGGGTCAGAGGGAGAAGCAGACTCCCTGCCGAGCAGGAAGCCCGATGCGGGACTCGATCCAGGGACTCCAGGATCATGACCTGAGCCGAAGGCAGTCGCTTAACCAAATGAGCCACCCAGGTGCCCCGAAAGGCAGTTTTCTGATGACCCCCAGGATTCTGCAGACACTGCACCTGAAGGCAGGGAAGCCAAGTTTTAGGGCTCAAGGAGCATCCCTTTCTTTTTCTTTTTTTTTTTTTTAAAGATTTTATTTATTCATTTGAGACACAGAGATACAGAGAGAGAGAGAGCATGAGCAGTGGGAGAGGCAGAGGGAGAGGGAGAAGCAGACTCCCGGCTGAGCCAGGAGCCCGATGTGGGGCTCGATCCCAGGACCCCGGGATCATGACCTGAGCCGAAGGCAGACGCTTAACCATCTGAGCCACCCAGGCGCCCCAGGAGCATCCCTTTCTTAATCCATAGAATGGGTATGGGCAGACCTTGCTGTCTACAGCGATGATGTAAGGCCTGTGACAGATAAAAGGTCTCCTTTTGAAGGAGGCTCAGGGACAGGCGGATACTGAAGAGTCAGAGCTGACGCTTGTGATGGGGTTAGAGGCAAGGGGGGTACCTGGGACCCTCCTGGATGACCGCTCATGTGTATCCAGCGAAGACCAAGGGTATCTGGCAGCTGCTCCTCAAATACCATGTGTTTCCTGATCTAGCTCGGGGACCCAGGGTGATCCCTAGGGGAAGTGGGGGGGGCAGGTTGGGGAGACTCTCCCAGAGGCTGGAAGAAGGGACCATGCAGGAGAGCAGGGTACAGTGGGTGGTCCTGCTGGCTGGACCCCGGCTCCTGCCCCTTGAGCTTGCCAGCCCTCTTCTTGGCCCGCCTCGGGATGGGTCGGGGCTTGGGTCTCTCTCCTCTAAAATTTGCCTGCTACCAGCATGAGGCGCAGCAACTAGCAAATTGTACCCGCACACAATTTATTTTTTCAGATACAGAAATGGAGATTCAGGGAGGGAAAGGGACTTTCCCGAGATTACACAGCGAGGAGGAAGCATTTGATGATAATGATGAGGTGGTCCTTGCTCTGTTCCTAAGTGCTTGATATGAAATCATCTAAAGCCTCACAACCCCCCAATGGAACCGGCATGCTACGATCACCATCCCCATGGTATGGCTCGTGAAGCACAGAGAAGTTAAATAACTTGTTTCGGGTCACTCAGCTGCCAAGGTGAGGAGCTGGGATTCAAAGCCAGACATTCAAATTCATGACCACTAGGCTATAGGGACTTTCTGGGAGGAAGCACAGTGCAGGGAAGGCCGTTCTGGCAGGCCTGAGCCCGATGGACTGGGTCGAGGGTAAAGGGTAGGGCACGAACAGCAGAGGGGAGAAAAGGCGGCCTGTTTGGAGGCTGAAGCAGTGAACAGACCCAGAGTGAGCTGTGCTTGGCAGGCTGCAGGCAGAAGTCATTTTACTCTTTCCCAGTGGCCGCCTTGCCAACCTGTTCTGTTGACCCCATCTTTCCCACTCTTGGATGAAATCTCAGGCATATCTCATAGCTTTTTCAGTTACTCTGAGGTTTTACATGTTTTTTTAGATATTAAAATCATCTAGTTTAGTAGCAAAGTTTTAAGCTCTGTTCAAGGCTTCTTCGTTCCCTCAAGTCTGCCTTAAACTCAAAGACCTGTATAATGAGGAAGGAGTCACTCTCTCATTAGGGGTACTTCTATGGGTTCTTCAGAGACCCCCCACAATCACTAGGGATCTCCCACCTGCAGTTTCTACCTGGGCAAAGCCTCCCCGGGCTGGCTGGGCTTACAGCCCCCTTCAGCACCTGCTTTCCGGGTTCCAACCCAACATGAGTCCTTTTGATAGGATCTCATGCCCTTTCCCTGCTTCCCTCCCCGCCCGCCCCCACCCCTGGCACCAATCCTCTTGGGGCAGGGTCCTAATTCAAAATGACTTCAACCAGCCACATTCTTCAAGGTTCCCTCTGGGGCCCTGGGAAACACATTTGCATCCTGGCCCCCAAAGGCTGGAAGTGCAGGCTGTTCCCAAAGCAGCTCAGTCCTTGACTCGAAGAAGCAAGGAAGCCTAGCCAGGCTTTCCCCTTTGTCACTTACCCTCAGAATTCCAGGGGACACGTGCTATACCCTTGGGTTTTCTGAAGCCCCCCACTCACTTGGCCTGAGGTTGGGGAGCACTGCCAACTGTCTCTAAAGAGAGCCCCCTCTCCTCTCTCCTCCTCCCCTCCCACCCCCCACTCAGCCACACAGCCTTGGAGGGCTGAGGGACCAGGAGCACTTCTGGCCCAGGCCATTTGCAAGTCTATGCTTTGGAATGGGGTACTTGGTACCCATTGCCCTCAGCTCTGGGGGTCTGGACTGGAGCGGGCAGCAGGGCTGAGGGGGAAGGGAGGGATTGGAGTGGGATTTCCATTCAGGGGTCCCTCAGTCACAGATGCTGGTGACAGGCCAGAAAGGGATGAATCAGAGATGAGGCACAGGGTTCAGGCCCCACCGGTGGAAGGCAGTGAGTCAGGCAGCCTGTGGGGGCCAATTTGCAGTCTGGAGGCTGGTTTTGAAGACGGGGTTTGAGGGTGTCACATGGGGGTGGAGCAGAGGGGTTGAAAGCATGGACTTTGAAGTTAGGGTGTTTGGGTTTCAATTTCAGCTCCGCACACAGCTTACCAAGGGTACCACCCGGAGCAAGTGACTCAGTCTCTCCCGCCAGTTTCCCTGGCTGCACCACGGGAGCATTAAGCCAGAGTGAAACTGCAGTGTGCAGCTCAAAGCCTGGCTCATGGGGCCCTCAGCAGGGTTCCCTGCAATCCCACGAGGAAGGGAGTATTATTCTCATCTCCCATTTTACAGATGGGGAAACTGAGGCACAGGGCGCTAAGCAACATGCTGGGGCAGGCGCACACAGTCAGGCAGCCCAGCTCCACCTACTGTGTCCTCACCTACCATGCCACGCAGAAGAACGTGGGCACAGTGGGAAGTATGACTGCACGGGTTCAAATCCCACCTCTACCACATAGAAATTCGTGAGCTGTAACACTGTGGTCCACCTTTCTGGACCACAGTGCCCTCATTTCTATACTGTAAGTACTGTGCTCTCTGGCTTGTGAGGATTTAATTAGTTAATCCTTGTAAAGTCCACCCTGTCTGTGTTAGTTGTCCTTCTTAGAGCAATTCTGGGTTGGAAGGATAATTAGAGGAAACCCCTCTCATCTGTTTTATAGAAGAGGACGCAGAGGCCCAGAGAGAGTGCTTGACGGGCCTGAGATCACACAAAGTGACAGAGCTGGGACTCATCCACTGTTCCTCAACTATCCCGAAGCTCTTACATGGGAGGAGGGCATTGAGAATTGGTGAGCAGAGCCCTGGAGCACCCGGGCTGGAAGTCGGAAGAATGGTCAAGTCTGGACACATAGATCTGGAATATGTCTCCTCTTACCCGAGCAGTGCTTGCATGAACACCCTTTCGCACCCATCACCTCAGGCCTCCCAAGGAACCCTGTGAAGTAGGGACTCCCGGCTTCCACGACGGCAGAGGGGCATGAGGGCTGGAGAGGAGAAGTGACCCGACCACCTAAACCCAGACAGGGGTCTCCTTCTGGTGACGGGGGTGTGATAGGCAGGCAGGCGGAGGAGGGATGAGTGTGGGGGAGCAGTTCGGGGCTGATGAGAACAGAAAGCCTCCACCAGGACACTTCGACATGAACGCTGTGTCAAGGGAGCCTGAGAGAGGACGGTCACTTTAATGAGTCCCTGTGGGGGACAGTCTACAATTGCCTTTTCCAAAGTGTGTCCTGTTGCCTTGCTCACAGATGGGACTATTGGAGCCTTCACAGAGAACCCCTAGGGACCTCCAAATCCACCTGAAAAGAGTGAGTTGCTCGTGCTGGGATTTCGCACCATGAGATGAGGTGGGCAGAAGGCTGGCAGGGGCGGGGGGGGGGGTCCTGTCTTTATGCCACAGCACCAAGAACCCCTGCCATCTGCTTTGTCCCATTTCCATCAGCTCGTCGAGGCTCTGCATTGATGTTTCCCTCTGGCTCATAAAGGCTGATCGTTAGCCGCTGTCATTTAAATGGAGGCCCATGTCTTTGTCACACTCTGAGCTCAGCCTTTGGAAGAGACAGAGACGACTTTGGTCTTGTGCTCTAATGAAGGTCATATTCCGTCTAGAGGGACTACGGGGGACCTGTTCCCATCCAGCTTCAACTCCAATTGGCTGTGCACCTCCTGTGTATCTGCCGTGTATTCACATTTCCACATTCATCCTGAGTCTCACTGTTCTACGGAGATTTCAGAAGTTTGGGGAGGAGGGAGCAAGACGCCAGGGAACGAGAGATGTGGATTACCATCCAAGTATATGAGGCTTGGTTTTTCAGTTCTCTTTTAGCTATTGATTTTTCATTTAATTATACATGAACTGTGATGACAGTTTCTTGAGATGTATTGGGATTTGCTTTATATCCTGCTGCATGATGTCCGCGGTAGTGTCTGGAAATCTTCAATGTGTGCTTGTAAATGACGTGTCAGGTGCAGGATTCCATACATGCTGTTTGTCATTCTGCTGTGTGTCTTTGTGGCTTTCTTCTTTGTATGTCTTGTAATTTTGGATTGCAAACTCACGTTAACAAGGGTTTTATCTGTGAGTATCCCACTGTGGCTTTTATTGCGGGAATGTCCTTCCAGAGAGGCTTGCATTTACTATTGCCACATGCTCTGTGGGTGAAATGCATCCCACATTTGCTTTGTATGTTAATTACCAGATCTAACAGTTCTGGGACCATGTGGGTAATGCAAATTCAAATCTCAAATTTGTGTTAGGGAAGGTCTAGAGTCATAATTTCTCAAGAGAGACTTAATTTTTGTTTTTCCAACCAGAGCCAAATATGAAACGTCTTTAATGACAGGTTTTTGGTTTTTTTGTAACCATTTGCCTTTTCACTGAAGATATGCTATATTCAGGTGTCTTGGTTTCAGATCTCTTTTGGCAAGGGCTCAAGGCCTTGTCTCCCATCCGTATATAGATGTAGAATCCAAGCTCCTTGGTTACCAAGATCAGCAAAGGCCAATACCTCCCCACACCTGTCCCTGTGTCACCCGCAGACCCACCCTGCAGGGCAAAGGATTGGCATCTGCTTATCACGGGGATTTCTTTACTATCTTGGAAGGTCGCTGGGTGTTTAACAGAATGTCTGTTATACTTTAGTATCTGTAGGCATTGTGTAGCATCCCATCAGAAGGTCCCATCCACCATGCCCAAGACCTGGGTTCCACTCCTTGAGCCCGAGTGCCCCTGGTAAGCCTCCCCTGACCTCCCCACCACTTGTCTGACTCACTGTCCCCAGCCACTGCCCCACAACCTCACCCAGATAAAAGGCATGAGATTGTTGGGTGGTGGCAGGCAGGGGCTAGATATCCCAGTGGCCTCTGGAGCAAAGCACTTAAGTCCCTAGTGATCCTTCCAGGGTGTCTGGTGACATCTCAGATGCCTCACCTCTATGGGTCAAAATCCCTCCTGATTCACACCCAAGGTGTCCCAAACTGCATTCACCCTCCTCCCAAGCGGACTCCTCCACCAGGCTCCCCAGCCTGCCTGTGAGTGGCACCAACACCCCCTCCTTTGCTCACCAGATACCCAGGAGGTTTTCAGAGGCTCCCTCTTGCAAGCACTGAAAGCCAGTCACAAAATCTTCAATATTCCAAATATCTCTCAACTCTGGTCACTTCCTACCATCCCCACTGCCTCTGCTGTGTCCAGGTCTCATTATTGCTCACCAGGATTATTTCCTCCTCCATCCCTCCTGTGATGAAGAGACAGAGCTCAGAGCGCATGGATGTCTGGAGGGTGGGGCCCCTCACCTGCTGCTTCCCTTGCGAATCCCCTGCACGGATCAGGCGTCCCTGAGCTCTCTGGGCCAGAGCCCTCTTTGAAGTGCGAACTGTCAGAAGCCAGCAGCCTGAACAAAGATGGTGCGGAATGGGCACACAGGCCTGTGATCTGGCTTGAGGGGGGCTTCCCATTTGGATGCAACCATGCTGAGCCCCCCTCTTCACTTCAGGCAGAATTTGAAAAGACAGAAAAGCCACTGCACTTACAGCTTTTAAAAAATGATGGCATAATTTTGCAAGCTTACCCTTCTCACCTATCCCAACCCCCATCCTTCCCTTGTCCCAGCCCTGGGCTTCACCCCGTGGCTGACCCGGACCCCTGGCGAGGCCCAGGAATAGAAGGTGAGGATGGGGAGGTCAGGTAGCACCTGGCAGATGAACCCTGTGACACCAACAGCAACCCTGGAGCATTTCAGACAGGGCATCGTGCCCTCTGAGTTTCGTGGTCCTGCCCGGCACTCAAAACAAACCCTCCAATCCTCCTTAAGAAGCAGTTATGGTCACACTCACTCAGGGGCAACTAATACACAGAGCTCACTGCTTAGTAGTGGCATGACTTGTGACAAGGGACAGCAGTGACTCGAAATCTCTGAACGCACCTGCCTCACAAGGGTGTTCCCAATCCCAGAGAGCGTGGGGCTTGGGGGCAAGAGCTAGAGGGCAGCCCCCTCCACCACTGAGAACTATGCCACTTCAGGCAAATGAATGGGTTAACCAAGTCCCCCCCCATGACACAGCTCTTCACTTGAGGCTTCACTGGGCCCCAGGGAGGGGGTGGAGGTGTGGAGGTGGGCAGGGGGAGAGAGGAGGATTTGGCCTGTAGTGGGTGCACTGAGCTCATGGCTGTTTTTTCCGTCAGCATGGATCAAGGATTTTCGGAGAACAGAACACTGAAACTGGCGAGATGACCAGGGAGGGGGAGGGTGGGGAGGGGTGGCTTGGAGTAGGTGCCATGGAGGAGGGCCAGCCCTGACTTCACAGCAGGACTCACATCCCTCGCCCACCTTCCCACCTACCTGCCGGGACCAGGGGCAGACAGGGCCACGCTCCCAATTGTCCTGCTGGCCCAGGACCAGTTGGATGAGTTGTCCTGCGGTCCCAGGTCTGCTGCTCAGTTACTCCCCTGCCTCACTGACCCCATCAGCAAGGGGGTGACAACTGGAGGAAAGATGAATGGAGGGCCTAGCGTGTGTCAGGCGCTGGGCTGTGAGCTTAGGGACCTGGAAGGGACAAGGCCCCAGGTAGGTGCCTGGGAGGCGCTGCAGGCTATGGGAGGCCCCTGGAGAGAACTCAAGGAGAGTGGGAGGGGCCGGCACCCCTTGCACACTGCCAGGTGGAGGACTTGGGACATTATCTTGAGGTCAGTGGGCTCCCAGGGGGCTTGAGGCGGGGGCTCCACCCCCTGTGGCACTGGCGTGGAAGAGGCAGGGGTGGAACAGGCTAGGACGGAGCCTGGCAGACCGACTGGTCAGGACGGGGCGGGGGGGGTGCACGCAGGGTGGGGAGACACTGGGGATTTCATGATCGGGGGTGGGGTGCTGTGGGAGGATTCAGGGGGACATCTGCTCAAGGTCTGGCAAATGGGTGGCCACCAATGCACAAAGGCGTGGCTCAAGGGCAGAGTGATGGGGCCCTTGAGGAAGGCATAGGTTTGCCCAGGGCTGCAGCTTTTCAAGCCATGAGGTTACCCTACGTGGGGAGAGGGCTCCTCGTGGCTGCTCATCTATCTAATCAGAGAAGGCGCCCGAGCGCCCAGAGAACAAACGTTTCTCTGCACCGGCCCATTCTCCCAGGCTCTGCAGTGAGAAACTTGTTAGGGACCCAGTCCCCCAAGCCCCCTCCTCTGCAGCTGCTGCCATTCCAAGTGGGGAGCGGGCAGTGGCGCACCCCCCCCAGGCGCCCGCCTGCCTGGCAGCACCTCAGTCTTACCTCCGACTCAGCCCACTTACAGGCTGCGAGGTGGGGAGAGGGTGGGAGGTGGCAAGCTTGGAAACGGGCCACAGCTGGAGGGACAGGCCACCCCCCTCCTCACTGCAGCAGGCGAGGCCTGGCCCTATGCTTGGAGGGACCACACGCACAGCCCGAAGAAATGAGACTGACACATCCCCACCCTAGGGGCCAGACATTAGCTTCGGAATGTGACAATTTATTTGGGGGGCAAAAGAGGCTTTTCACTCCCCCTTCCTGGCATTGATACAACATTGAAGAGCAGCAGAACTAAACGTACAAGACAAGAGTAATCGGCACAAACCCCCCTCCCCTGGCCCAGAAACAACCGAATCCAGAACAACAGAACCAAAACCCACACCCGCAACCTCTGGGGCAGGTGGCCTGGGGGACCCACCCCCACGCTGGGGCGGCAGCTCCACTCCTGGTCTCCTGCCAACCCAACTCGGTCCCTCTGTCACCACTGGAGGCAAAGTTTAGGCAGCTGGGAGCTGGATGGTTGAGCCACAGACAAAGGCAACAACACTTCATTTTTAAAATGAGAAAAGAGAAAAAAGAGACAGCGCCCCTCCCCAAATATAGAGCTATACGTATATTTTATATATATAGAATTCATTCGTGCACAATTCATTAAATGAGCTTTTCAAAAATTAAAAAAATTATAAGATACATTTCTTTAGGCCTTTGTGTTTTTAAATTAAAACAAACAAAAAGTGTCCATCTGCACTCCGCCCAACAGCGGGGGCAGGCCCCAGAACTCTTGGTTCCTTCTACCCTGGCCTCTTGCAAGGAGTCCCGTTAGACCATCAGCCCTGTTTGCCTAGCTGAAGCTCTGCATACAGTAGGCACTCACTCACTGCTGGAGTGGGTTATCGACTCCTTCAAGGCGAGGCAGGGGGACCCCACAGGCCTGGGGTGTGGGGTCCTCAGTCTCCACTCAGCCTGTCCCCCTATTTCGGCATCTTGGTGACTGTCAGCAAGATGGAGTCAGGCTAGGGAGACCCTCTCCTGGAGTGTTAGCCCCTAAACTCCTTTCTGAATCTGAGAGGAGATGCAGACTGAGAAAAACGAAAACCTTTAAAACACTCTCCTTTTCTTTTTAAAAGTGATTCCTTAAACCATACAAGCCCCCGAGAGGCTGCCTTGGGCTAGTGCATGGGAGCCCGAAAGCAGAACTGACCGTGTGGGGCTCCACTGTCCGGCGTGGGCCAAGTGCAAAAACAAAACAAAAACAAAAACAAAAAAACCCAAAAAGACCAAAAAACCCAACCCAACCCAACCAACCAATAAAACCCCAAAAGTTAGGAATGGTGGTGCGTCCACTTGGGCCCCAAGGAGGCTAAAAGGGCTGGTCATGGCCCAGTACCCCCGACCTATATTTCCTCCGTTTGGGCTGACCCCTCACCCAGGACTGCCTGGCAAAGGGGTGGGGGGACACCTGCCAGCTCTGCAGTGGCTTCAGCGTCCGCCCCCCCACCCCCTTTGAAGGGGCTTTTCCCAAAATGCCAGAGCAGCTGGGCTCTTCACCCCAGCGAAGCAGCTTTGCCTCCCAGAGCCCCAGTTCCCTGGTCTTTTCAATGGGGTGATCCCTCCTACTCTGCCCACCTCTCACTGAGGTTGGACCTCAATCATCACTTCCTTCCAGAGCAGGGGAAGGATGGTGTTCATTTTGCCCCAGACCCCTTTGCAAGGCAAGAATGAGAGGGGGCTGTGGGAGGCTAGAGGTCCCAGCGCCAGCGACCTCTACCAGCACTGAATCCTCAGCAGCTGTCTGGACACCAGCAGTGCTTTATGAAGAGGACTTGAGCCCAATACACCCATTTCACAGAAGGGCACACTGAGGGTCAGAGAGGGGAATGAGACAGGGAGGTGTCCCAACTTCCCACCTCAAACTGGACATCAGACCTCACCTGCTTCCTATGACACATGGGTGGGGAAGGGGTGGCATTAAGGGGAGAGGACCGATGCCCCAACCGATACTGAATATGGGAGATTGGGCTTTGGGGGGTATTTCACATATAAAAGTAAAGCAAACCAGAATGCAACTTCTGCTTGGTAATTAGGCAAACGGAAAAGCAGCAAGGGGAGAGGGAGGGCCCAGAGGAGGCTGATTCGTGCAAGTGTGTGTGGGGGGATTATGGGTCCCCGCTCAGAGCCACCCTGGGAGAGAGGTAAGGAAAGCTCCACCTGCTCTTGACCCTGTGCCCACCTGGGCCTCCCAGGGGAGGCGCCCACCTCGAAGCAGTGTGCATGCGTGCCCCCGCGTGTGCTGAGATGGGGTGGGGCCGCACGGCTGAGGGTCAGGGGCAGCAACCCACCTGTGGGAAGAGAAGGGCTAGGCATTCTCTTCTCCCCACGGGCACCCCCAATCCCTTAGGGTCATCACCTAAGATTCTCCCAGAATCTACAGCTCCTGCCTTTCTGAGGCCTGTATCCCCTACCTGGACAGGGAAGCTCAGGGGTGTCACGGTCTTTGGGGTGATGGGGAGGGAGGGGCCAGATGACCGGACAAGCTGGCAAATGAGTGGAAGAGAGTGAGAAACCCAAGTGTATCTACTCACCAGCTTTCCTGGACAAAGTCACCAAGGATGCAACAGTGGGACTCCCGCTCACCGCCCCCCACCCTCCCCTCAAATCTCAGCTCCATTCGCCTGGCCCCTGCAGCTCTGGCGAGTTCCCTTGGGACCAGTGGTCATCCTTCCCTTTGAAGGAGGGTAGGTGTGGGGGCTGGGCCCAGGACAGGAGGGAGGCCGCCCCCTGCCTCAGGCCAAGGAGAGAGAGAGCAGTCGGCCAGACCCCAGGGACCCCACCAGCCGGGCCTAGGCCCCCATCCCCGTTCCTAACATCGCCACCTTACCTGTGCAATCACTGCAGTACTAGTTTTTCTTTAAATATCTCTTTCTCTCCCCCCCACTCCCACCCCGACCCCATAGGAATCCCACAATATTTTTTTCTATTTCTTTTTTTTTCCTCTTTTTTTGTTTTTTGTTTTTTTGCAAAACTAATTCTTTCACTTTCCTGTCATAAAATCACCTCTGAAAACACAACTTCTTTACAAAAAAAGTCACGAATGACACGGACTCTCAGGAAAACACATTTCTATGGTCTCTGGAAAACACCTGTAACTGGCACCCAGGTGGTCACTCACCTGGGGTGAGGGGTCGGGGGGAAATCCCCTCTAAGGACAGAGGAGAAATACCAGCCCTTATTCGGGGGGGAAGCCAATTGGCACTTGGACGGCCACAGAGCCAACACAAAGGGCAGGGTGGGGAGGGGTCTAGGAGTGCCAGCCCCCCAAACCCTGTGAGGGCCCTTGTTCTACATCCGGGGGTGCGGAGGGCCAGGGGCCACCCTGGCAGGGAGATCTGGAAGAGCGAGTCCTCCCATACTTCCGACAAAGGCATCTGTTACCTAACGGGATTCCCTTTCTGCCTCCTCCTCCCTTCCGCCATCACGCTTCCGAGTTGAGACACCTCTCCCTGCACGCGCCCGGAAGCTCCCGCGAGCCCCGCTCAGGACCACACCACCCAGGCCTGACTGAGACCCAGGGCTGGCCGGGCAGGCGGCCCCCACAGCGCCCCAGTCCCGCATGCCCTCCCTCTCCTGGAGAACACAAGCCCCCTCTTTGGTCACCCCCTTTGGCCTGCCCGCCCTCCCAGGGCCCGGCCTGAAGCAGGGGCCCTGTCTCTGCCACTGCCATGGACACCCTAGCTCCCTGGCAAGAGAGAGAAGGAAAGCTGCCCTGGGCTCTGGCGCCTCCGGCTGCTTCGAACAGACTGCGCGGTGAGAGAAGCCTCAGCGGTCAGAAGCGAAGAGCGGGGGAGAGGCTGGAGCCCCCCCGGGGTGTCTTCCAGGCTTCCTCCTTCCCCCAGACGCAGGGGAGGAAGGAAGGGCAAGGCCGGGGTGGGGCCTCCCGTCTCCACCTCAGTCCCCGCCAGCCCGACTCCGCAGCAAAGGCCTGGCTGGCTGAGCGGACCGCCCGGGCAGGACAGGACGGCGTGGGGGCGCGCACCCCAGCACTGCTAGGCTGGGGGCTCCACAGCAGACTCCTCGGACCCGCGCCAGGTCCGGGCAAGGGAAGGTCGGGCCTTGGACAACCCCATTCTGAGGAACCCTCCACAAAGCCGCCTGGAAAGCCCGGGCCCCGGGCACATCCGGGTACGCGCACAAACACGCCGTGGGGCGGCAGGTGCGCACGCCAGCTGGAAGTTTCCACAGCAGGTTCTTGTAGCACCTTTGGTCGAGAACTGAAGGGCCCTGCCGGCCCCTCCCACCTCTGAGATGGGGTTGAGGAGGGAGCCGGGGCGGGGTGGAGCCGAAGGGGACCTGCTTGGGTCAGGTGCTGAAGTTTGCGGGAAGAGCCAGGCCGCTGGCCCCGCTCCTGCCACCCTCCCTGACGTGGAGGGAGGGGCCGCGGCCGGCCTCCCCTCCACCTCTGACTGGGCTTTGCCATCCCTGGCCCTCCTGCCCAGGCGTCCGGGTAGGGGAGGAAAGGGGCAGCGCGCCCGCTGGGAGGGGGTCTCCTAAGGGGCCCCACAGCTGCCGGGTTAGCACCGAGAAATCAGATGCTGTGTGCGAGAGCTGGAAGCAAGCTGGGGAGAGACAGAGTGGGATGCGGAGGAGGCAGCTGAACCCAAGGTTCGGGGGCTCCCGGGGAGCCACCCAGCAGGCCCCACCATACACGGGCAGGGCGGGTGCCAAGGGGCAAGAGGGAAGACTTCCAAGCGCCCTCGCCCCACCCAGCCCTAACCCGTTCCAGGACTGCTGCTCCCACTGGGCCTCGGGGGGCTCCTACTGCCCAGCCCCATCCCGGGGGGCGACACCGAGCCATCTGAAACAAGCAAAGCACAGGCAGGGGCGTCTGAGGGCAGGGGCGGGCGCGGGAGCGAAAGTGGGACTTTGGGCAGGAGGGCCCCCCCAAGCCCCCCTCCTTGGTGGAGCCCCCTCACTTGCTCACCCCACTGCTGCCACCACCCCCAGTGGCACCTGCTACCCCAGTGGCCACCTTCTCGAAATCCTCAGGGTTGCAGAATTCCTTGATAGTGACTGTCAGAAGGTTGCTGGTGACGTCGGTGACCACCACGTTGGAGCAGGGTGACATCTCAGGGCGCCAGTCCCCAGCTTCAGGCTCGGAGGTGGCGCTGGCAGGCTCGGGGGCTGTGGGCAGCGCCGGGCCCACGGCAGCAGGGACGTCGGGAGGCACCCGCTTGCTGGCGGCCGCGGCCTCAGGAGGGATGGACAGGTCGAGCACTTCGGGCTCACGCCAGTCGGGAGCAGCTGGGCTCAGGGTCTCAGGGAGCAGCTTGGGGGGCGCGTCATCAGGATCGGAGGAGGACTGTGGTGCTGGTGAGGGACAGCCGGAGGAGCTGGAGCTGCGGGCGTCGTACGGGGCAGTGGGGGCGGCCAGGAGCAGCCCGGGGCCCGGGGAGGCCGCAGCGTCGGCCTTGCCCACTGGCTGGGGAGGCAGAGGGCCGGGCGGGGTCTTATTGTACAGCGCGAAGGTGCCGAACTTCATGTGGCGGATCTGGGTGCGCAGGATGCTCTCACTGAACTTCTTGCTCTTGCCGATGACGCGGTTCCTCGAGGGGACTTTGGGGCGAGCGAGGGCTCCGGCCCCCTGCCCGGTGCCACCTCCGCCCGTGCCCTTGTCGATCACCTTCAGGTTGAGGATGATGCGGTTTCGCTTGGGCTCCCGAGGCTTTACCTTGCGATTGATGATGCGCACCGTCTCGGAGAAAGGTGAGATGGGGGGGCGCAGGCCAGGGCTGCCACCCTGGGGGTCAGGGCGGGGCAGGGGGCGGCGGGACATGCGGTGGCAGCGGCGGATGTCCTTCTTGAGCCGGTGCACGGCCGCGCTGGAGTGCAGCTTGGGCGAAGAGGCGCTGGCGCTCGGCTTGACAGAGAAGTGCACATCGCTGATGCGGAGGGCCTCAGCCTGGGCCCGCGCCTGAGGGGTGGAGGGAGGGGGTAAGCGGAGGCTCAGCTTCCTGCTGACCTCCTCTGGATGCCCCTGTGCCACCCACCCACAAGTCCTATCTCATTAAACCATCCTGAGGGCATCTCGGAGAATCTGCTGTGCTCCCAACCCCGTCTTAGAGATAAAAGGAAATGGGTTCAGACAGGTGAAGCGAAGTGCCCAAGCGGAACTCTAAGACCCACTACTTTTGATGGCCGTGAGCCCCTGGGACAGATGGCAGCTACCCTGGCTGACACAGAGAAGTGTCAGCAATGAGGACACTGCATGGAAGGAATGACTCTTTGCTCAGAAGCCCGACCACCTCTGCTCTGTGAAGGATCCCAGCCTAGCCTGGCACTCCTCCACGGACCAATTCTTGGTGACAGAAGGAAGAGGGAGGCCCCTCCCTGCTCCACCCCACACCCCAGCGCCACTGACCTACTTGCAGAGTCCCAAAGGCTCTGCGCTCTCTGCTTTTGAACAGGCTGCACCTGCAGCTTGGATTCGCCTCCCTGGCTGGTCGGCACCTCTGGGACAGCCCCTTGGTCCTCTCAGCCCCTCCTGTACGCTCCCGGCCCCCTCCACTTCCCCTCTTGGGTCTGATTCATGTCTGCCCAGGATCTGGCTCAAGGCCTGGGGCTGAGCAAATCAGTGCCAACAGATTCCAAAGCCAACACCTAAAGCCTAGGTTGGAATCCACCCCAGTGAGACAAGGGTCTGGTGGGGATGGACCAACTTCATATCCATGCTGGGATGGCCTGGGTGGGGGGAGGGCAGGATAGTTGAGCAGGCCTGTGGGCAGCCAGGGAACCTGTCCCAGGCTCCTGGGCTCAGCTGCGCTCCCAGGTGTGACATCGGAAAACCCCCCGGTGTTCAGGGCAGGGGACTCACAAGGCCATATAAACCGTCCTCCATGGCCAGTCCTTCCTTCACTAACAAAGTACTAGAGGCACAAACCAACTGCTTGGAGCTACGACTCCAAACACACACAGCCTCCCCGCCAGGGGCTGCCCTCCCTGGGAAAGACGAGACGGGCAGTGAGGATGTTGGGTGATTCAATGTAATAAAGGACCGATAGGGCCTAGCAGAGCACAGCTTAGGGGCACAGGCCTATCCTGGAGGATGAAGCCTTAGTAGGAGGGAGCCCTGGTCCTTTCCGAGCCAACGATGCTTGAGGCAGCCACAGAGGCTCTGGTGGCCTGCCTCAGGGGCGCCGCTAAGACCAGCGGGGGAGGCAGAGAGCCCAGCGGTGAGAGGATGCGGTGGTCAAGGGACTAAAAGCAATGGTTGATCGGGCATCTACACACATCCTCGCTCCTGGGGGGGAGACTCGCCAGGCGCTATCTGCCTCAATCCAGATGAGACAGTGGTGGCCAAGGGGAAGGGCACACTCCCACGGTCAGTCTGTGAGCTCCCCGAGTGGGATCTGTGGTCTGGGGTCTCTCCACACACCCCCCTGCCCCCCAGCCTAGATGCTTAACCAGTCCCTGAGAGGTGGCCTGTGTGCCCCTCAGACAAAACTAGATTATATCTGACCACAAACCCCTGAAGCAGTGTCGGCGGGCTTATTTGCTGAATTAGGGAGGAGGTCTTTAGAAGGTGGTGGAAACACACTTTTAACACTAAGTGGCCCCCCGGCCCCGCTGGCAGGGAGTCTCCTGGGGCTGCGTGGCCAACAATCCCTTTGAGCACTAGGTGGCAGCACCCCCGCGTGCCCCATGCCAGGGCTGCCCACTCCTCCTGGGCACCGGCCAGCGGAGCCAGGGCCCCGTTCCCTCACATCCCTTCTCAGACAAAGGCAGGAGACAGCCAGCCTTCCTCGGCATGGCAAGCAGGGCCTTTGGCAGGTTCATCCCCAAGGGAGCTTAGGGGAATCTCCACTCTTTCTGATTCCCCCCACCCAGGGTGTTAGTGTTTATGCCATCAGCATGTCGCCTACGCTCCCAGACCTCTGTCGTCATGGCTCTGCCCAAGTCCAGGGGTGATGGACCCTGAGGCGTGGCAAAAGTGGGTATAAACCTCAGACCTGGGACAAAACTCGGGCTCGGTGGGCCATATATACCATCAGATAATATATGCTACCTGCTCAGCCCAGCGTCTGGCATAGAGCAAGTACTCGAGAGAGACTAGATTTCTCTCTCCATGGGCGAGAGGGACAGGGCGCTGGTGAGCAATAATCTTTTACTAACGCACAGTTTCCAAACTTTTTATGAGAAACATTTCTTACTTCATAGCTTCTAAATATATATAATTTTTTTTTTAAAGTCTGGTTTACCCTTCCTCCTCCCCTCCCCTCCGCAGGCTGAGAATTCTGTGAAGGTGGGACCCGGGTCAGCCTGTGAATTAAATAGCCAACCACAGCCAGCGTGTTTACTATACTGACGCGGTGAGAGGCACGGCTCTGAAGGGCTGGCGTGTACCACAGACAAGAGCACAGAAGATCAAACACCTGGATTCTACAGCTGACTCTTTGTGACCAGGGGCCAGTTCCACAACCTCCCTGGCCTCCGTTTTTCTAGGTGTAAAATGGGGCTAAATCCCAACCTACCTCATGGGCTCCTGTTTCCCTTCAGAACAGTTCCGGGCAGAAAGTGAGGGCCGAGAATATATTGGTTTACACTGCCTCTCAGTGACTCAGAGCCATGGGCTCAGACCCAGCTGGTCTCCACCACCCCTGGCAAACATCCACATCACTCTCGTAAGGCTCAGGTCCTCTCAGCTGCCTCTCCACCCCCTGCCCCACCACCTCTGCAGCCTTCATCATTTCCTGGGTGTGTCCACCTTGTCCCCTCAACCGGATGTATGTACTCTCTGAGGGACAGGGTGAAGAGAAGGAGCCAGAATGAAGCCAGGAAGCTGGGTGGTGGGACCTCACGTTAAGTCACCTCCCCTCTCTGGGCCTTGATTTTTTTCATCTGGGTAATGGGAATAATACTCCTTCATAGGGTTGTTGAGAGGATTAAAGGAGATAATCCACGTGAGGGCTCAGCACTGTGTTAGGGCCAGAGCCAGCTCAGAAGCTAGAGCCATCAAGGAGGGAAAAAAAGGCATTTCGTGAATCCAAGCTCACGGTCATTACTCACTTGACCGCTAGAGGGTGCTCCAGCTGCGCTGAGAGGCTGTCACACAGCCCACCCGCCCTCCAGCTGCTCCGCCCCATCCCTCCTCCTAAGAAGCATCAAGGGTTAAGGGTGCTCCTCCATGGATCCCCTAACGTGTGGCGGTTGGGAACAGGAGTCACGGAAATACGTAATTCTGGAAACCAACGGTTCTTTCATGTCAGCTTTAAGTGAAAGACTTTTTGGGGTGGGGGTGGGGCTGGAGAGGCCCAGCCCACCCCACCCTCACTGGGCTTTGAGCCTTTTGCCAAAACCGGAGATGCTGAGGTTGTGCATTCTGCACAGTCTCTTCCCTGGCCTTCCCGTGCCAATTGCCACCAAGTCACAGGCTGCCAGGGTGGGAAGGGTCCCCAAGGCAACTTCAGCACTATTGGGCCAACGGTGGTGTCCCACGGAGGCCCGCCTGCAGTCTTGCCTGTCTCCTAGGGTCATCTCACCTTCCCTCTCCGACTCTGTTCTTTCTCACTAAGAAAAATTAACCCCCCAAAACCTCTAAGATGGCTTCCTCTGGGGCTAGGTCTCCCTCCCTTGCCAAGGCTAATGTGTTTATGCTTCCACTCCCCCACACCCCATTCTCATTAGAACCTCCAGAAACAGCCAGGGGTGGGGGGAAGCCAGAGGCCCGGCCCAGGTGATAAACTCAAAGTGAAGTGATCTAAGGTCAAATTCAAGTTGCATTCCCCAGTGAGGAGGGGAGGCATGCAGAACAAATCCTAAGAGAGAGAAGGAAGCTGGGGGTGGGGAGGCAGGTGGCCCCCAAATGCTTCTTCTGTTCCCAGCCGTGAGGGAAACCACATTTACTCTCCCCATGGATTCTAATTCCAGGCAGAGCCCTACCAGCTCAAGGCTGGGGGAGATGAGGGTTTCGCCTCATCCGATGTGCAGAAGTAACCTCCCTGCCACCCCCTCAGGTGGACAGCCCCCACCTGCCTCATCTACCCCCATGCTGGAGCCCGGCTGGCCTGCCCAGACCCTGGTTTTGTCAGCCAGGATTATCCTCCTCCCTCACTCCCCACTCCCAGGCCCCTCTTGCTGAAGCTGGAGCTGGCCAGGGCCGGCTGCCAGGGGCTCGGTCGGGGGCTCACAACCACCCCCTGCCCAGCTGGGGCCCCTCTGGAAAGGTCCGCCTGCCTGGGCAGCCGAGGATCTGTCCCTCCCTTGCAGGCCCCGTGCTGCGCCAGGGCTAGGGGCCCGAGACGGGGCTGCTGGGGCTGGGCCAGGTTACCTTCAGGAGGAAAGTTTTGGGTTTGGGTCCCCTCTTCTTGGGCCCATACAGCTCACGCTCCCTCTCCCTGCGGCCGAGAAACGCCAAAGGTTAAAAAGAGCCCCTTCCAGGGCCCCACTCCGCGCGGCCCTCCCCGGCTCTCCCGCTTCCCCCGCTTCCCCGCGCGGCGCCCCAGCCGAGCCTTGGCCCCGCCGCCCCTGCCAGCTCCCCAAACTCACTTCTGCTCGAAGGCTGCAATGAGCCGCGAGTCCAGGATGTTCTCCTCGGGCTCCCAAGTGCTGTACCTGCCAAGTCACACATGCACAAAATAAAAATGAAAACCTAACAGGCAGAGGCACATGCGAGGCACCGAACGTGCACACTGCCCCCCCCCCCACCACCAAGGGAAAAAAAGGCCCCGGTGTCCGCTGCCTCCCCTCCCCCCTCGCCCCTGGACCCCACCGGCACTTACTTGATGGCCCACCCCTTCCATTTCACCAGGTACTCGATGCGTCCCTGAAAAACAGAGAAGAAAAAAAGGGGAGAGTGGGGGTGGGGAGGATGCGGGGACGCGAGGAGGCGGCGGCGCGGGGGTGGGCGAGAGAGCCCGTGTTAGCGGGACCGCTTCGCCCTGATGGGCCGCGGACCCGGACACCGGCTCCGGGGCAAGACGTCCCGCCTCGGGAGGCGGCTCACCTTTCGGATCCGCCGTTTGATGATGGATTCGGCCGCGAAGACCCGCTCGCCCACTGCAGACAGCTCCATCTTGCTCAGCGGCACCCACAGCCCATAATACTCCCTGCTCCCGCGACCGGTGCTGCACCGCTCGCGCACGCGCCGCAGCGCACAGGCCCCGGCGGGCGGGCGCGCGGCGGGGCGCGCGCTCGTGTTCCAGCTGCGGGCCGTCACGTGACCCCTCGGGGCCGGCGCGCCGTTGCCAGGACCACCCCCTCCCCCGGGGCGGTTGCTAGGGAAAGTGAGCGCTCGCGGGGCGGGGGCGCGCGCTGGCTCTTAAAGGGGCCTCGCCTGGCGGCGGGATTCCGGGCCCGGAACCGGGTGGATGCTTGGCTTGCGGGAAGCCTGGTCGGGCGCAGTGCAGTCTAACAAACACTTTCTTACTCCCGTTTCCATCTTCCCGGCCCCCGATAGCTGACAACCTCTCCCTCCTTTTAACACCTCCCCCTTGCAAGTCTCCCTAGGCCCCAGCAGGGGAAAGACGATGGAGTCTCTGCAGCTGCTGCGCATCCTCCCAGCAGAAGTTTGCAAACAGTTAAATATGATACAGCAGAAATGCATTTGCTGTTGCCTTGCCAGGCCCTGCGGGAATTTCTTTAAAACATTGCCCTCCCCCTCCCCAATCTATTATTTATGTATTCGTGGGAGTGTGGTTTTGTAACCAGTTCAGATGAATTAAAACAAAAACTCCACCGCAGGGAGAGGGGTGGGGGCGGTGTATTGGGGTGGAGGAAGGCCGGGAGGATCCTGTGCATCTGTTCTTTGGCGGGCTGGGGTCTTGGGCGGCACCTGCCTTCACCCTGGAGGCGGGTTGAAGATCGCAGCCAGGACTATGCGGCGGCGAGAGGAGGGACAGAGAGGCTGTGGGGTGAGATGGGTTCCTGGCACCCCAGATTAGGCCCGAGTGGGTCATCCTTGGGTCATTTGGCAGACACCACCCACATGACCTTGTCTATATGTTTTCTGATTCCCAGGCCCCCTGGCCTCGGCAAGCTTCGGCTGCGTGCAGCTCCTTTAGTGGTTCCGCCATTGCTCACAGGGAGACCAGACCCCAGCTTCGGGTGTGAGGAGACACTGGGAGACCTGGCTGTCCCGGAATGGACGGACACAAAATAGCCCTGCCACACAAAATGCTCCATTTCTTTTCCTTTGAATTATTTAAACTTTATTCTTTATTACCCCAACGGTCTTGTTCTTTGTAAATAAAAAAACAAAACAAAACCCGACTGTCCATAACCTCCATCAAATCATTGTTAATATCTTCATGAATCCTCTTCCAGCCTGTTCTCCGTCTATACAAACATACATATGTATGCGTATGTATACATTGTATATACATAGTATATATATATTTTATTTCTTTTTAACAAAATGGGATCTTATGAATCACACCGTCTGCGTTCTGCTTTTCTCCCTTAATGAAAAAAAGCGAATCTCTCTTGGTGTCATTAATTGGAAATTTTGCCACCATTTTCGTGGCTGTGGTAGGGCTGAGATGGAGGTGGAGAGGAATGGGGATGTGGTGAGGATCAGGATCGTCTCTTGCTTTCATCACTTGTTTATTAGAAAAGAGGATTTTTACATTTCTGTACTGTAATACCAATTCTTGTGGTTTCGAATCGACTGCATCAAAATTGCTGCTTCTCATCTCTGCATCTATGCAGATTTGTCCAATTATTATCTTGGGAGAAATCCCCCTCACCTTCCTTAAAATCAACATGCTCTTGAAAAATAGCTATTTGCTGGTCAGCCCAAAGTGGGCTTTGGTCTAAGAATAGAGCTGCCTTCCTGGGGATGATCAGGATGAATGGGCAGATGAGCTGTGTGTGTGTGTGTGTGTGTGTGCGCGCGCACGTTCAGGCTGAGAGAGGAAGCAGTCAGATAAAATGGGTAAACATTAAATCCATGTGTTAGTTCACTCAGCAGCCTTTGTGACCCTTTTTAAGGTTTTGTGTTAAGCCACCTAAACAAAGGTGGCCCAGGCTTGAGGAACTCTCAGGTGAGAGAGGCACCTGCCATATAGTGTGACTAGTGCTAGAATAAACATGTGGTAATTTCCTAGGGCTGCTGTAACAAATTACCACACACTTAATAGCTTTAAGTAGCACAGACTTATTATCTTAAAGTTCTGGAGGTCAGAAATCCCAAATCAGCATCACTGAGTTATAGTCAAGATATCCCCAGGGCTGGTTCCTTCTGGAGGCTCTAGAAGAGAATCCATTCCTTGCCTCTTCCAGCTTCTAGAAGCTGCTGACATTCCTTGGCTCGTCGCTGCATCACTCCAATATTTACTTTTGCCTTCCCCTGACTTACCTCCTGCTTCTTTCTAATAAGGACCTTTGTGATGACATTGGGCTCACCTGAATAATTGAGGATTATCTCCTCATCTCAACATCCTTACCTTAATCATATCCGCAAAGTCCCTTTTACCCTAGGGTAACATATTATACAGCGTATGTAAGGTATCATATTCATGGGTTCTGGGGATTAGAATGTGGACATCCTTGGGTGGCTGGGGCATATGCAGCCTACCACAAAAGGTATGTATAGGATGCTTTGGGAATCTAAATGTATTAGAGTTCTCCAGAGAAGCAGAACCATTAGGGTGTATACGGAAATACATTAAGAGGAGATTTGTTATAGGAATTGGCTCATGTGGTTATGAAGGTCAAGAAGTCTGCAAACTGGAGAACCAGGGAAGCTGGTAGCATAGGGCCCAAGAATGAGGAGGCGGGTGTTAGTGCCCTGATTGGAAAGGCAGAGAACCAGGGCAGGAGAAGATAGATGTCCCCGCTCGAGAAGGTAAAGAATTCACCATTCCTCTGCCTTTTTGTTCTGTCAGGCCCACAATGGATACAAGATAACAGGGCACATTGGCAAGGATGGTTTATGGATTCAAATGCTAATCTCTTCTGGAAACACTCTCACGGACACACCAGAAATAATCTTTACCAGCTATCTGGGCATCTCAGAGCCCAGCAAGCTGACAAATCAAATGAACCATCGTATTAGATAAGGGAGCAGCCCACTACCTGGAGGAGAGGAGGCTGGGAGGGCTTCTCAGAGGTGGGGTCATTTGACTGGGGCCTTGGAAGCTGAAGATGAATTTGCCTGCAAGTGAAGAATGAGAAAGGCAGCCCAGGTAGAGGGGTCAGCCGGAGCTTTAATGAGAGGAAGTCCCTTCCACCTTGAATCCTTCCACCTCTCACAGATCATCTCTTTTTTTTAAAAGATTTTATTTATTTACCTGAGAGAGAAAGAGAGGGAGAGAGCATGAGCAAGGCAGGCAGGGGCAGAGGGAGAGGGAGAAGCAGACTCCCCACTGAGCGGGGAGCCCAATGTGGGGCTTGATCCCAGGACCCCAGGATCATGACCTGAGCAGAAGGCGGATGCCCAACCATCTGAGGCACTGAGGGTGCCTCACAGATCATCTCTATTCTATGAGAGAAAGTTCCCTGTACCTCTTCCACAGTCTGTCCTGAGATTTGGTCCAACACCAAAAGGGAGAAGTTTAATCTCCTGGACTGTGCGAGTTGCTGCCCAGAGAGAGGGCATTTCAGTTATAGTCTGTGCTATAAAACACCATCATTTGGTGGCTTCATACACAAGAATCTATTTTTCATGATTCTGTGGGTTGCCTGGGCTCACTGGGCAGTTTCATGTGTGTTTTGTTTTGTTTTTACCTGGTCTTGCTTCGGGTCCTTCATGGGGTTGCAATCAGAGACATGGCCAGAGTTGACTCACACGTCGGGGGGCTTAGTCCTGGGTATTGGCTGGGCCTCGCTCTCCTCGTGGCCTCCCACGATTCAGCAGTCCAGTGCGGGCTTCCTTACAGGGCTGCCAGAGCCATATGAGGAGGTGAAGAACACTGCAAGGCCTCCTGAGGCCCAGCCTTGGAAGTTACACAACTTGCTTCCACGGCATGCTGTCGGTCAGATTTGGCAGGATTCAAGGCCCTGGAGATTCCTGCCTCCCTGTGCCCCCTCCCCTGGCGCCTGTGCTGGTCCTGCATAACCCACTCCCCTGAATGAGGATGGCACTTGCAATGAGCTGGATTTTTCCCCATGATCAGGTGAAGTGAAAAGGTAAGGGCTTTTGCGATGTGATTAAGATCCCTAACCAGTGGACTTTGAGTTCATCAAAGGGAGTCCTTGATCTGATACTCTTTTCACAGCACTTCTGACACCCAGTGTGTGGGTTTGCTCCTCACACTGACAACCGGATTTTCAGCTCTCTAGACACCAATTGGATGTCCAATGTTTCGGTCCAATTGACACCTTAGCATCTGGAGTTAGCGCAGATCCCGCAAGACCCCACTTCAGGCACTGATAGCGAGTCTGGATTACTCAGACTTTTGACGGGGCAGCTGTACATTGAGGGTTCCTACAACCCTCTCCTCAGTTTTCATCATTTGATGAAACTTAGAATTGGAAAAAAATATCTTTAGCTCCTGTCTCTCTGAAGATCGATCCAAGTTCACTTCCCAGAGTGGACCATCCCCTCCCTGATGCCAAAAGGCAGTGCTTTGAGCTCAGAGCCATAGGCCATAGGCCTTCATGGGGGGTCCCGGAGGGCTGGACTGGGGGATGCAATACAGTGGGGGTATCATCTTATGTGCATTTAACTCAACACAGCCAAATCTATGTATTTGTTGCCATCATTTAAAAACAGAAAACAGGGCACCTGGGTGGCTCAGTTGGTTAAGCGACTGCCTTCGGCTCAGGTCATGATCCTGGAGTCCCGGGATCGAGTCCCGCATCGGGCTCCCTGCTCGGTGGGGAGTCTGCTTCTCCCTCTGACCCTCCTCCCTCTCCTGCTCTCTGTCTCTCATTGTCTCTCTCGCAAATAAATAAATAAAATCTTAAAAAAAAAATTAAAAACAGAAAACATTCTACAGATGTGTTCATTACTATGTTCTGCAATACTACCCATTATATGTTTGTTTCAGGTAGTCAAGTGACTTAGCAAGGATGAGCTTCCATGAGGATGCTAAGGGAGTGGGTGAAACAGGACAGTAAAGGAGAGAAGCCAAGCAGAGAACAGAGGGGGTCATCTCAGATGCTGTCAGGAGTGGCTGGCCCAGCCTGATCCTGCAGGGTTGCTCTGGAGTGAAAGTCACTCCTCCA